CCCCCCCGTCGGGGCCTTTAGCCCCTCCGTCGGGCAGGTCCTGGCGCCACCACTGGGGTATCTATTATTACACTTACAATTTACTATTTTTGTGTACTGTAGCACATTTTGAAATCAGTTAAGATAGATAGAAAACTGCCTTTCTTGGTGGTACCCAGGGTGGTACGAGGCCTAGACCATGCAGGACCTCATCATCATCTATAGCCTAATCTACACTAATAAGTGACGAAGTACTAGGCCTAGGAAGGGTATGCTTAGCCTGACGGTAGGGAGGGTACAACTGCCAGTAACATCTGCTGCGCGACCTTTGCCTTGTTGGTGGCGTGGTAGCTTATCTTATGGCTTCTTATGGTCGTCATCATCCTTTCATTATCTTGATACTCATCCTCATCATTCTAACCATCACCATCCCCATTATTAACACAATATACTTACGATATGCTGAATTGTTGATCCTGTACTATTACATCAGGGAGGTATAATACTGGTTTTAACAGACCTATGCCTACGTCTGGCGGCGCCAACGCCAGTAGAAATAATATAGCGAAGTAACGAAGTTAGGGTGTGTTAAGCCGGCTCCACCAATCAGCAACGCGGATTTCCACAATCATCGGAAGAAAGTAGGAACTACTGACGACAACAGCCACAAATCATCATGACGGCGTCGGCGATGTCATCCTGTACTTGGTACCTGCGTGGTACCTTTGTACGGCAGGGGCGGATCTGGGTTCTTTAATTTTCAAGGTTTTCTCGTCTTAAAAACGGTTAAAGTAAACTTTCTCATTCTTATTACAGAAAATAGACTAAAAAATGAGTAGTTGCGTACGTAGGCTATTCCTTTTTCCCATGAATGGATGAACCCCCCAAAGAGAACGGGGGTGTCGGGAAAATGTTGATTCCTAGATGGCGTGAAATGCGCTTTCCCGATTTCTGAGGTGCCTTTTAATGTCTTGAAAACGATTCAATGAATTCCGACTTCTAATTTTCCCATTGTAACAAAAATCAGCTCACGGGTCGAGATTTTTTTTCCCAGGGGGTGGGGAGGGGGAGGGACCCCATGATCCCCCTCCAGATCCGCTAATGGTACGGTATATATACTGGATCCTCTAAATATCTCATTTAAATATCTTTTTAGCTTGTAATCCAGACCCTTTTATTGAATTGCCCCATGTGGGATGAATAAAGATTGTATTGTATTATATTTCTATTGTAGATAAAGTGGAGGTTCGATGAGGCGGGTGGACTGAGCTTGTAATTTTGCTTAGGAGGAAATGTCATAAACTCAGCGGTGGCTCCAGAAATTCGCAGAGGAGCGGTCCGACATGTCCCACACCACAGAGGTCCAAACCAAAGACAGACAAGCCTTGATTGAGGTCCCAGAATAAATATTCCTGGTTTTTAATGTGGTGGGTCCATGCCAAGTTGTGATCCATGACAAATTGTGACTTTAGACCAAAATATTAGGGATTGGCAATAGAAATAATGTTATTTTTGAATAGGAAAGGTGTTATTTTTTAATTTATGAACCGACGAACTCATCATGGAGTAGAACGACATGGGATCTACGCCTGTACGACGAGAGGGCAAATCAACCACCCCCCACCCCTTATCTGGCCGAACGCACTCTTGAGGCGTAGCATTGTGTAATACAATGTTCCTGACGGTTATTTGAATCTGTTCAACCATGAAGCCTTCGTGGTCTAGTGGTTATGCGAGAGGTCACAGGTTCGAGTCCCGCCAGAGGCATTTTATTACACAATTTCATCTTATGGGCCCTATATATATTGAGAAAAAATGACTGGTAGTATAGGTTTTGTAGTAAAGTGTCCTGCATCCTGTTGAAGTGTTCCTAGACATCCAATCAGTGGCAGCTCCAGCGTCTGAAATCTAAAATCTGGAGAAGGGGGGGGGGTTGTGGCGGGCATGGTCCCTGACGAGAGCAAAGTGGGCATGATTATTGTCTCAAAATAGTCCAAGGGACGGAGCACCTGAAAAAATATGACAATTAAGGGGTTTCAGAGGCCTTTTTAATCAATTTTATATATAGTCTACTAATATATAGAAAAATACATTGATTTTTCCCCCGATAAATTGTAGTAGTTAGCTTTTTTTGGGAGTTGGGGAAGAACATTTTCTGAGGGATAATGTCCCCCTTGCCACCCATAGCGCCGCCACTGCGTCCCGTGGAGAAAACATAGCTGGAGAGATCAGACCAATTAAGGCTCTGGAATAAACTTATCTTAAATCTTTCGCAAGTGGTCGGGGGG